ACATAATAAAAGACTAGTATTTGAACGAAGAATATTCTTGTCGATAAATTCTCTTCAGGTTCTACAATTATATATCCAAATTAATAATTTGATAAATGGCCAGGTTAAGGGCAAAGTACATCGTTAAAAGCATGTGAATTTAGGATTATGACAACAAAATACAGTAAAATTGTTAATGTTAATATGACTCATATAGAATGTTAACTTGAATCTGCGTATATGTTAAATGAAATTTTAAGATCCATGATCAGAATAAATATGGGTCAAATAGGGTGAGAGAGAAATAATAGTGCAATTACAATTCGATCAAATAAGTAAGACGTAATACGGAGGAATGAATGCGAAGTGAGTGAATCATGTATAGGGGAGATTAATGATGTTTAACCAATAATACGAATAATAATAATAATAATACGAATAATACAAAGATTTATGAATAAAGATAACAGGGACAATTACAATTGACTACGAAAGGTCATAGTCAAATTGGGTCATTCAATTGTTAAGATTACGATTGATTAATTGGCCTTGATGTTGGCCAGGGGAGGAGGAGTGGCTGAATATATTTCTTCTGTACGCATAGCTCCGGTTTCTTCATTCGGATGGCTACTGCTTCAGCCGTTTGAAGGACTTTCAGTGTGACCAGTTTTGGCAAAAAATTACTGACCTTATAAATAATTGAAAAAGATTGGTTTATACTGGCACTGTGACCGCTTTGTACTAAATGGGCCAATATTGAGCTGTTCACCTTCTTCATCAAACCTTTAATTAATAACTAATTGTGTAGATTTATATTTATTACTCGTATCCCAACTTATAAAATGCTTTCCTATTATTACTTATTTATTAACGCTTGTTACTCCTCACGGAGAAGAGTGAACCTCCCATCAGCATTCTCCATCCAACTTTGTCCAGAACATTCCTTTCCAGTTCTTGCCAGTTGTTATTCATCCTTTTCATGTCTGCTTCCGTTTCCCGATGTAGTGTGTTCTTCGTGTGTTTGGAAGTAAAAATTCAGAGTAGAACATGTTCGATCAAATTTGCACCGTTTTTAATATTTTTCTTTTCCTGATATTTACCTTTTACATAATCTTATTGATGTTCACATATTTTCAGAGCTGAAACCACTGACTGATATAACCTAGACCATCATTGAATACCTGGAAGCACTAGACGGACGTTCAGTCATAGAATGTGACTCCTCAACAGTGAGTATTCACGATACCGTGCGTATATTTGTTTATTTTTCTCATGCTGAACAATTACATTGTAACGGTTTTAAAAATATTATTCACTAAATTTCTACAAGGCTTCAAGTTTGATCCCTGTTAAAGTCATGAGTGCATAACTCTCTGTTCTCCCCTGATTTCCAATGGCTCTCAAGTGATTGTAGTTCAGAATGAAAAGTTTAAACCATTTTAATTAACTAATCCATCTACTTTCTTTTAACTGGAATGATAGCTCTACATTAAGGACATTATACAATTACATTACACTTAACTAAATTCTTGGCATAGTAAACTAAGTGTAAACCCAAAAAACTCATTGAAATCCAATTTATGCACTAAATTCGATTACATTTGGGTACTTCATTTATTAATAAATAAATTTAAGCACTTAACAAGTTAGGTGATAAAAATTTAAAGCAATTAGTCCATTTTATGAATCTTGATAGAGCAATGAGAAGACGGAGTTGATCTAAGAACATTTTTTCATCGAAAGATGAAAATCTAATTTAATTAAATACTACAAATAGTGAACTGAACAAAGAAGTAAAATGTAATGAGATAACTCATTTTGAATTATTCGTAAATGACTTAATTCCTCTTGGAATAATTCGGCTATCCACTCAAAACATTTACTACAAAATCGTAAGGACAGATTCATTTCTGTATCCCTTGATGATGTATAAGTTAATAATCTATCACATAAACATTATGAATATATGTTTTTGTACGTAAAAGATTCATTTCACTCAGCAATTTAGATTTTATCGTGTTCATGAAAATTGAGTGATAAACCTAGTTATTTAATAGGTTAATTTATTAATGAATAGAACGAAGTAAAATAGAAGTTACTAATTATTAGTATAGGGTTGTGGTGATTGTCGAGTCTCACAAGACTCTTGAACCGATCAACGTTATATTACCATTGGAAACCGGGATAACCGTTTCAGCACTGCATGGGACTCCTCAGCAGTGTGTATTCACAACCCTGCACGCGGATATCGGACACAGAACCTTTAGTCTTGCGCATCAACGCCTAATTTCTGGACCACTGGTGCAGTATCTGATGGTCTAATGTTTAATTTCAATCAACCCGCGATATTTGCGACCATCTTTCATTTTCTTCGGAGGGTAACTAACTCGTGTTCAACACGTTCGAAATTTGAGAAGACTTTACTATGACCAAACGGCCATCCAATGCTTCCAGGTCTTCATTGGTGATCTAACATTAATTCGTTCATGATATCAGTAAGATGTCAACAATGTTATGTGGTTACATATGACCTGAAAAGAAACCGGTTTAACCTGATCTCGTTCTAGTTGACACTCATCACTAATACGTACCAGGGATATTTAAACCACAACGTAGTCTCAATGTCTAAGACATTGCCAGTGGTCCGTTCAGCTCACAATTAATCATAAGCAGGAGCGGCATATTTCCACTGACTAGTCACTACTTGGTGATCAGTCACTATACATACAACGAAAGAGACCTATTTTGTCATGGGAGAAGAAAGAAGGCAATTCAGCAAAGAAAATTTTATTTTCGACGATTTCATGTACGTAATTGGAAGCAGACATAAAAAACAGATGAATAGCGACTCGAAAGAACTGGAAAGAATTGTTCAGGAATGAATTGGATGGAGAATGCTGGTGAGCGGCCTATGCTACTCAACGAAGGGTAACAGGCGTAAGTGAGTATAAATACGATTGTACAACTTAAGTCAATGAAATCGTCGAAGATGGCGTTTTCATTGTTGAATTATCTTTTTACTTGTTATACATATCACCAATTATATGAAATGATAGTTGCTATGTGTAAAAAATCAACTAGAATTGGATATATGGGAGATTATATACTTACTTAATAGTTTTAAAAGATGTCAATAACCACAAGACTATGAGGTTTTGATATAGATCTCTAACAGAATGATAAATTTATACTCATGAAGAGTTATAGAATATGAAGAAATACAAGAAGAAACAGAAATGTCAATTTTTGAATTCCGCACATGTTTCAAATTAGGTAAATATATACCAACACACTGTTACTAACTATGTTTAAAACAATATGAAAGAAGAGTTGTAACATTCCATGTAGATCAATAATTTGACTTGTCTCTAAACACTAATAAATCACTAAATTCACTTGATATCGTTTGACTTGGATCCTCCCATCGATGTTTAGGACTGCAATTGATCCGTCTCTTATTAGCTTATGTGCATACTGTGCATATTGCCTCCATATTGTCTTAATTCACAAGCATTCTAAGCAAAGATGGATAGTGGTTAGCAATGGAATCTAGAACATGCGTTTCATCAGCTAGATGTACCTGTATCTCAGAGTTGATGTTCACTCTGAATCTCAAATAGGATGAAAAGCGTATCATGGAATCCATTACTAGCTACTATCCGTCTATGTTTACCAAAAAATCACATCTCAATATTTCTTTGAGAAGTAATACAACAAGACACCTTAAAACATTGAGTATTCTATAAAGAACATTGAATTTTATTGAATATTATTATTAAAACATTATTTGAAGGGGTTTTGTGGATATTATACTAATTTTAATAGATGAGATTATCAGTCAATTGAAGCTAGATCACCAGGTAAAACCTGAAAGCACTGGACGGTTATTTCGTCTTACTGTGGGACTACTCAACAGTGCTCATCCACGATCCCGTCTCGTGATATTCGAACCCAGGATCTATCACGCAAATGTCTAAACTCTAGACCACTGAACCAACATCCAATGGTATTAATGTCTACCTTCAACTAATCCACGAAATTGATCGACATATCCATCATTGTTTTCAGTGAGTTACTATCTCACAACAAATCCAGATTTATCAGTTTAGAGGTTGTGGAGATTGTTAAATTTTTGATTGAAATCATGAGTCAATTGAAACTAGATCACTATGGAAAACCTGGAAGCACTGGACAGCCATTTCATCCTAGTATATGAGACTTCTCAACAGTGCGTATCCACGATCCCACACCATGCGTGATTTGAATCCAAGACCTATCAGTCCAGATTTTCCAATGATGGTCTAACATCATCAATCGGTTCATGATCTCAATCAAAAACATTTAATCTATTCTAAAAATTAGTATTTTATATCATAACTAAACTATAGAATTCATATTTCATTTATTCCATTCGTTTATTGAAATGGTATTTCAAATATGGAGTTCATTTTTAAAAAAAAAACAAAAAAAAGAATCAATCAATCAATCAATTTTTATCGAATATGAATTACATTTCAAATCTAATATTTAATATTATCATATTCCTTTGTAGTTTTATTTTAAATCATTTAAATTTTAAATTGCCGCTATGATATATATAAATAATTATCTAAATGAATCAATTTACCTAATGATTAGTCATTAAGTTACAGATTTGTACTCATGTATATTGATGTACGTGTATGTATGTACATTGTATGTATGTGTGTGTGCATATATGTACGTGTGTATGTGTGTGTATAAATATGTGTATATGTATGTATGCATGTATGTATGTACGTATGTATGTATGTATGTGTTAATATAAACTCAGTTTAAAAAAGATTGTAACCGTTAACATCAATATCAATTTGATCTTAGTTCAATTAAATATTGTACATTTAATTTTGAACCAATTAACTTTTAAGATAATAGTAAATATCTTCTTTAAATAAAGAAAAAGAAAGAAACTAAAACACTCATTACATCATTATAATAGATTGACAATGGAAATTTAATAATAGATTAGTAAATTATCTATAATGTTCAAATCTAACATGAAACTAATATTTTTCATATCTCTTATATTAATCAGTTCCATATGGATCTATTCAGGTATGAAAGTATTCAGTAGAATTTAGTTGTTGTTGTTGTATAAATGCTTCATATTAGTTCAATGTTTTAATAATTGTGTAAATAGATAGATTTGTGATTTTCATATTAAATTTGATTGAAAATTTTGTTTGAATTACTCAACTTCTGAATAAAATTGACAGGATAAATTGAAATTTAACTATTTCTTTTTCAAATGTGACTTTATTATTGTATTGTTGATAAAAAATTGCTCTCAACTATAGGAGCTATCAAATTGACCACTGGTTTTGAAGCTTTTTTTTAAAAAAAAAACATATTAAAATCATGAGTCAATTGAAGCTAGATCACCATGGAAAACCTGGAAGCACCGGACGATCGTTTTGTCCTAGTATGGGACTCCTCAGCAGTGCGCATCAACGTTCCCGCACCCCGCCGGCTCAGTGGTCTAGTTGGTTAAGCGCTTGGGGCGAGACTGATAGGTCCTGTGTTTGAATCTCGCGGGGTGCGGGATCGTGGATGCGCACTGCTGAGGAGCCGCATACTAGGGTGAAACGGCCGTCCAGTGCTTTCAGGTTTTCCATGGTGGTCTAGCTTCAATTGACTCATGATTTCAATCAGTGAAATTTCTAAAATCTCCACAAACCCCTTCTGATGAAAAAAACATATGTTTACAATCTTTTAAGACGTTTGATATATGTAGAACACTGAAATTCAGGACATGTATTTCATCCTGTGTGGAACTGATCAACTGGATACTTAATTATCCTAATATTGATGACTAAATTGACAATGGAACTTTGTACTTATTATTTTGAACCTGAATTCCAACCCTTATTATTATTATTATTATTATCAGCTTTATTCATTATTATATTTTTGGTACAATATAGAATTCTCAGCGCAAAGTATTTCAACAAGTTTCCGTTTCTTTCTTCTTGGTCGGTCCTGGCGATAAATGTTGAGTGATCGCCAGTTAGATGTTAGCAGTTCAGTAAATGAACATTTGAATAATGTGCATTCTTTTCGTTGTATATTGCCAGCAACCACATTGTCTCTTATTGAGTTTTTTGTAACTTTGACAACGAAAGGTTGTACACTTTTCAGAAACGCAGCGGAATGGGTTATGAGAATAATAAATATAATGATATATTAAAACAAACAAAATAGATAACTTGTTGAAATATCTAGATGGCAGGAACAGGTAGCCCAGATGCTCAAGCAGGCCGCCCTACTCATAACTTTGTGAATTTTGAACAGGTTGGTAACTATCTTAACTAAACATATTATTGGTTAATGTGTAGATGTCTGATGTGATAATTACCAGATTACAGTTTTAATCAGTAATTTAACATTGGTTAGGAAGAACACCTAGACGCCAGGTTCGGGCTACGATGGAATGTGGGTGCTGGACTCCAATAGCAACCAAAACACAAGTACAATGAAATTTGTAACTGAAAGATTGTGTCAAGATAGTCCATTCAAGATCCACCACATATCGGCAGAGACCTATTAACTGCAATTCTGAATACCGGCAACAAAATTACAAAATCTTACAGATCTGTCTACTATTTTCTAGAGAATTGAAGCTGTAAATAGTTACATATAAGTATCAAAATAATGTCATTACTTTCAATCTCTTTCTTTGTTCATTACTTGTCCAAAATATATGAAGAAAAGTAAACTACCTGACCGGTGATATCATTTAAATCCAATGTCAGCAGAGTTGTTCCATTGGATTTAGCAATTAATTGATGGCTTTTCCTAACCTCTGCAGTACCTCTAAAGATATAGAACGTTTGAGCGGAACACTTTATTCCCATTATAACCCAGTACAGGCATTAAACAGTACAACAAGCCGTCGAACTATGAGTTTGCAGCTTGGTGTTCTCTAACCGATGTGGTTAGCGTAGTGGAATGCAAAGTAATGAATGCTTGAGGCAATATAGCTTGACTGAGTTATCACAAAATACAACCCTAAACAGTGAGCCAACATAACTGCTAGAGTATTAAGAACTATGTATAGTATTTTCTGGTTTTCGTTTGATTTCTCAGCTGATATCAGATCAAAAAGAAAACTACGTCTGTAAGGTGACAAAAACTAAACAGACATTCTTGTTAATATTTCATTTGATTCTAACATAAACTATAAAACTTAAATACTTAAATAAAAGTCGCTATACATCCATAAAATTGTTGAAATTACAGCTGTGCAAAAGATGAATTTAATTAATTTCAGAATTATAAACATAAATATATGCCTAATCATTTGATTGAATTTAGACATTTACATCACTAAATACTGGCTCAGTGTTCTAGAGGTTAGGAGTTTGTGCATGGAACCTAGAGTCTTGGGTTCGACCCTCAGTGGCGGGGTAGTGAATGGTCACTCCTGAGGAGTTCTATACTAACGTGAAACAGATGTCCAGTGTTTTCTGGTTATCAATGATAGTCTAAATAAGAACAGTTCGTGATTTGAACCGTGAAAATTCTACAATTTCATTAAAACATTAACTGATAATTTTTTCCTTAAGAGTTTAAATAATTATTCTATTTGTTCTGTTCGATGATTAAGTATAATCCTTAAAGTAATTAGTAACTATAGCTAACACTTTTCAAATAATTTTAAACATACTACTTAATTTAAGTATGTACATTTTTTTAAATGCTTGATTATGACAGTTGAATGTTGAGATATTATGATGGTTCAAAGTAATAAGCACGATTCCTGTCAAATTAACGTTCATTACTGTCATCCAATGCCATAATCAGAGACCTAGAATTCATTCTGTACAGAGTTCCAATCTTCTAAAGAACTGACCACTTGACGATATTACTACACTGGATAATCCATGTAGAAACATTTAAGTAAGAATCTGTTCTATAAATATTCCCTACACTTCTTACTGGTCAATGTGTACCAGCATATGATGCTGAGCTGTGGCTTCTATCTGATTACTATCAAATAGAGTGCAATATATGCCATACTGACCAAACTGAAACCTTGATCTTTAGATCCTAATCAACACTAAACTCTAGATAATATGATTTTTGCCTTTTATTTACCAGCCAATTAATGGATTTTACAAATGATAAATAACTATATTCAAGTTAGTATTTTTCAACATGAATTTGACTGTAATTTCAAAATCATTTCAAATAAAGAAGCATTGACTATAAACTACTGATTTGAATGAATTTACAGTTTCTATGGCTTTAGCTAACGATTACTCATAAACGATTTCAAATGAACGACAACGTAAAGTAAACTGTACCGTGACAATTTCTACTTAAAATGAATAAAAATATTTCAAATAATAGAAAAAGTACCATGAATAACAGAGTTGACTAAAACAAGATTAAAACCAAATGTTCCTGTATAATACTGGATTGTAATTTCTCTAGTCTATGAATTAATGATAAATATTTGAGAACTTAGATGCATTGAATCTCACTTGTTAAATGGTTACTCATTTATCTATTATCCAATGTTTACAATAAACCTGTGCTACATGCATGGTTAATAATGCTAAATCTAATTATGTTAAAATATTTGTCCCTAAAATCTAATGGTTTTTTGGTGTTGTCATCAATTTGTGAAAATCAGATTCAATGAAATAAACATAGGAACTAATGATTAGTAAACACTTAGTAAATACCTCAATAGCATTCAAAATAATTGACAAACAACAAACCTGAATTTTGTTTCATTTAGCAAAAATCATAGTTAACAGGTATTGCTCAATACACAATCACAGAGGGGTTTCGTAAAATGTGAAAATCACACATCAAACACATCATTTACACATTTTTTTTAAAAATTATTTTTTACAAACTTTATTGTTCCTTCATTCCTGTTTTTATCTTAATTGCTTTCAAATTCCTTCTCAATTCGCTTCATTTCAATCTTCTCAACCTTCTATTAGCAGACATTTCACTTCCGACTGGTGTTACATTCTACTTATATCTGCAAACATAAGTAGTATAAATCACAATAATATACATGGCTTAAGTTCGTTATCTATATGAGTTCACCTTCAACTAGTGTATTTATTATTGTATTTTATGTCTAGTACCTATTCTTACAATTTTCTGTCCCTATTTCCAAAATCAATCTCTATTTTATTAATTCAAGTATGTTAATATTATGTTAACATTATCATACTATTCACTACACTACCCACCAGAAATCCAACACAAGATATTCAGACCTTATTTAGAACATTAAACTTTCTGGCACAAATTACTTTGCATATATAACTTCCGTCGACTCATTACGTTGCGCAATCACTAGCCATTATAATGGGCGATATCTATCTCATTCTAGGTATAGTTGAATTTCACTTGTCACGGCTCCTTACTAGAACTTCTGGAATTACTTTACGAAGAAACAAGAATTCATATTACAGAGTGGTCATATACGTTTTCAGAGTTACACTTAAACCTAAATGACTCAGCACAATAATAAACTCCCAAAACAAATTCTTAAGTTATCTGTATCCGTCATCACTAGTTACTTGTTACTAAACAGCGAAATCCGACCTAAGGCCTCTTCGTGATGCTACTGGATAGTAAGGGTAACCTTGCTAGCCAACTTAAGCGGTCGATAGAGATTGGACTAATCACCCACTTAGTTGCTCCCTTGATTAACTCGGGTTCCAACTCGGGGCTCACTTAACCTGATCGGGCCACCCGTTGGGTATGCTTGTGTATAAGAGTTGGAGAAGTCCTCAGGCCCATGTAATTCATATATGTAGGCATTTGCAAAAGGTGTGCGTGTGGTGTCGTACAATAGAGACGTTAGTTGAAATAGTGTCTGCCCTGTGTCTAATAAAATCATCGGCCTAATTTATCAAGTCGATTTATTTATCTCAAATAGATATGTGCCACATAAATCAATCGATTTGTGTGAGGAATGAGATACTGCTCATGTGCCCAAACCGAAGTACGTTTTTTCATTAAAGAGCCACATCTCGAGCCTTTGACCTAAAGGTCTGATCCACAGGGCAGTGGAGCAACTTTAGGAGATGCAGTCCCGTGGTAGCCGGTGACCAACAATAGGTTCATACGCTATTTGTTTCTTTAGAATCCTGGAGCCCATGTGTGGCACTGGTTTAGAATCATGGTTTTCCAACTCCCCTTGGTGGACTCTCCGTGTTCACCGACTCGGTTAAAGCACTGTACATTCGCTTTTTGTCCTCCTAGTTTCGTAAACAACACCCCTGGCTCGAGAAGGCATTGAGTAGGACTTCCCTATCAATGATCGTATGTACGTGGTCATGTGAGAGCACTTCAAGAGGGAAAGCTGACTCTCTCCCACTCTCGTCCGTACCAGGGCATAATATTAAGATATGATAGGCGACAAACAACCCCCCTGAGAGAATACTTGTGGTTATATGTGTGTCAGAAAGTACTGAGGCGGTATCCATGGGCTGAATGTTATGCATATAATGTGTAAGAGAAAGTCTGTTGTAGCGAATACATTTCTGAGGAAGCGGTGCACTTCTACCCTCCCATATGAGTGAATATACCTATGTTTATGCTACAGAATGCTTGGGATAAAACCTGTGTGTTACCGGTGTGCATGTAACGTATATTTGCTCACATGACAGGTATATCTGTATTTATACTAAGGAATATTCGGATCAAAACCCGTATGTTACCTAGTATGCATGTAGGCTATATTTATCCAGGGTAAGTAAAAACTTCGAAAATCCTTCTACCTGCTCTTCTTACGATACCAAGATGCACAAAAAAACCTTCGGGCAGTAATCCCCACAAAATGACATCCACGCAGTAGGTTTGTGAGCCTTGAAAATACAGAATCCATTCCAGAAGTTTGTATGTAGGCCTTCCCAGAACAAGCCTTTACCAACCAATCTGGCTGAATCACTGTACCACCAGTTGTTACTAGACACATGTTTTTACAATTCTGAAACATATTCAGTTCAATAACCAGTTCATAAGTGATATAATTTTTTTTAATCTAATAAACAATTCATTATCATATTCATAATATTAACACAAAATATATGTACGAAAATATATCAGCTACAATTATAAAACTTTCTATTCACAATGATCTAACTGATTTATATTTTTAAAACAATGAAGATAACAATAACTGAAAACATTGAACAATAATGGTAATAATAATGATAATAATATTAAGTAACAGAGACAATCTATAGTCTATTATGATAATTCACTTGGTTGATAATAACATAAATGAGAAATAAACATAATGACCATAATATGTATACATAACTATTGATTACAGTTTATTAATAGATAGGTTATAGATTGCATAATCTACGAATTAGGTAAGCGAATTAAATTACTAATTTGGTTGGTGAAACTTCAAAAAAAAAAAAACGTCTCAGGTAATTTCTATGTAAATTAAATACTTCTATGATGGTCATAAATACTAAAAATGAACCGTAAGTTCAAAGTAATTGGTAATCTCTAAAGTTGATAGTGAACATGTTGAATATATGAAGTTTCATGAGATTCCGATTACTAATCCAAACGATGTTCGGAAAGTCTTTGCCACATACAATTCTGGTCAAACGTTTATGGTCAATGGAATTGTATAAAAAAGGCCGACTGCTGAAAACTTTTAGCAACATTTCGAACAATTGGAGTGGATGGTTCGTATGTTAATTGCTCCAAGTGGAAATTAGTTAAGAAGATAAAAGACTGACATCAACCGACAGACTAGGTGTTATAACGGTGGATTCTGTTAATTCAAATTTTTAGTTTAAAGCTAAACTAATGGATATAGTTCACAAGTTTCATACTGCTGAACCAAAGCAGAATAACATATTAACTTCTTAGCATTTCAAGTCATTAAAAGAATTACGATATAATGCTGATATTATTCTAGTTAAACTTGATAAAGGATCTGGTGTCGTTACTATGAATAACTCTGATTACAAAAGTGAAATGTAATCCATTCTCAGTGATAAAAGCAAATTTATGTCTGATGTTGACTCTGATAGATTACGTAAATTAGAAAAGAAAGTAAACTCATATCTAATGAAATTGTTAAACATGAATGCTAGTAACAAAGATGAGTTTAATTTATTAAAACTTATCAGTTTGGTGTATCTTAATTTATATGAATTACAGAAAATTCATAAGTCCAGTACCCCCTAACGTCCAATTCATTCAATGTGTCGGTCACTTATATAAAAACAGACATAATATGATCCTTTGATGTGAACAGTTTATTTACAAGTGTACCTCTAAGGAAAACTAATAATATTTTATGTGACTATATCTCATTGAATAACCTTCCGTTGCCATTTCTTGTTAAAACTCTTGAAGATTTATTATAATTATGTACTGACAATGTGAAATTCACTTTTAAGGATGAGTACGTTCGACAAATCCATGGCGTAGCTGTGGGTAGCCATTTAGGACCATTGCTGGCTGATGTGTTTATGGGATACGTTGAAAATCGAGTTGAAGACTCAATTCAAAAGATATATCTGTATAAACGGTATATTGATGACATCATAATCATAGCGTATAAACGTGAAGATATGAACCACTAGTTAAAAGAACTGAACACAAGTCAAAAGCATATTTCACTTACTAAATTCTTATTCTAGACATACTGATTAGTAGGAGAGGTGATGGTTCCATCAAACGTTCTGTATAAAGAAAGGCAATATCTTAATTTCCATAGTCATTACCCAATTCATCACAAGCGAGGACTAATAAAAGGATTATTCAATAGAATCAATCATATTTGCACTGGTGATACTATTGAAATAAAGACGAAGCTCTCAACTGAAACATTAATGAATAAAAGTTATTCATTAAAGTTTATAAACCGATGTAAGGGTTGCAATACGATTAGATCTATGACGCTTCTGACAACTAAAAAGCGTGTTTGCACCACGCTACCATTAAGAGGCGACCAAAATAATCTCGTGTTGAAACGGAGATCTATATTAGCAATCAACAGGACAGTTTATGCAGCCCAACTTGGCAGTATTGAAAAGAGAAGGTCTATGCTCCACCAAAAACCCAAACAACACGTAGGCGATTGTCACAATCCATTGTATCTATCAATTTATATGTGTGTGCGGTCACATGTACATAGAGACGGACAATCGTGATCTGCAAGTAAAGGTGGGTGAACACATACTAAAATGGTTACAGAAACAAATGACTTCCAATGGTCAAATAAGATCACAGGATAGACAGACATCATCCTCCATTGCGAAACATTTGGTTGAGATTGGTCGTAAGCTTGATATCAATTCAGCATTTGTAATGTAAAAAAGCTTTCAAGGGCGCATACTAAGGTTTATTGAAGTCTTGACTGTTAGGAAACTGAAACCCCTTTTATGTGTTCAAAAGCAATTTGTTCATACCCTTAATTCACCCTGGTGATACTGGTTTATTATCCAGTGTGATTACCACATTGTTTTTGTGTACTTTATTTTTCTTTGTTACGACTTACCTTTACCCTGTCTAGTTGACTATTTAGTTCTCATATAAAAATGTCTTAACAAGTATATTGTTAAGTTTGTCTTACATTGTTCCTACTCGCCCCCTTTCCACTCCTTTGTATATTGTTTTATACTACTTATTTAGATTGAGTAAGCAAATGTATTCCCAACAATTTTTAAACTTGTTGTAACGCACGTTGTACTGTAATATTCTGAAATGTTCACATACACTTATAACGTTTATTGTACTTATAATTGTATTTGTCATTACGATTACTGTATCTTAATCACTGTAGCGTTTATCCACAATTTTGTGCATTTGTTTAAACGCAACAGTTTCCATATTGTTTTGCTCTTGGTTCGGGTTTCGGCTGTTCGTAAACTGTTATCAAATTTAGACAAAGCCATCAGTTGTCTTTTGTACTATCGTATGTTATAATTATTCTTTATGTTACTGTTACAGGAAGCCTTTTTATTTTCATACTTGAAGGACGCATTTAAATGCCCCAGACACCTAACAAGTTGAGGTTTGTAACTAAATTTTGTGTATTATTCAATAAAGAACCGCTATTGTAGACAAATCGTTGTTTTGGAAACTTCGGTTTTGCTCGTATCTCAATCGGGTGACTTGGACGCTTTGATAGACTTAACATATATGCGTAACCAAATTGTTCGAAATGTATTGAGCAAATATATTACATAATACTGATAACCTTCATCTTGTCATTGCATTATCGAAATTGATCAAATTGATTAATTGTTTTCAATACATGATATTATATTATTCATATATAATAAAATCAGTAGTCATTTACAGATATACTATGAATTTATCAAGAACAATAAATCTTACGTAATAGCATTTTTTTAAATTACTTTTATAACTTTTTATTTCCTAGTTGAATCAATCAAATGTTATACATGTGATCAATGTTCACTTCCATTACAATTAGAACATTTCGAAGTAGCGGATGGTTGTAAATTTTGTAAAGTAAGTTTAAGAGAAGCGGAAAAAAACACACCAGACAAAAGATAGTAATTTATTTAATTCATTACTTATTATTATAATATTGAATTTTCAATGGTTTTTGTTTTATTATGTGAATAGATAATAAATCAAATGGAAATTTATTATCAGAAAGGATTTGTGGAGATTTTGGTTGAAGTTAGACATTAACACCGTTGGATGCCGGCTCAGTGGTCTAGTTTTTAAGTGCCCGCGCGCGAAACCAGTAGGTCCTGGGTCCGAATCCTTCTGGGTGTGGGATCGTGGATGCGCACTGCTGAAAGGTCCTATACTAGGACGAAGCGGTCGTCCAGTGCTTTCAGGTTTTCCATGGTGGTCTAGTTTCAATTGAATCATGATTTCATTCTGTGAAATCTATTATTTAACTTTATTAAAACGTTAAAAAAACTGAATGTACTTGAATTGTAAGAAATTTAGATGTATTTCTTTTTGTGTATGAATTAAAACCATTTATTCAAATGAAATGAATACTTATGATAAAAATAGAAAGATAACACGTTTCCTATGTCTAAATCCGAAATACACTAATCTGATCAAAGAAAGTAAGAAAAAAAGATAACCTTTTAATTGAAATGTTCTCAAATAGTCTATTTGACTTCGTTTCGTATGAGGATGTTATAGAAATATTGCTCGCATCTGCTAGGATCACCAGATAAGTAATAGTGAGGTTATACTCAAGTTATTAGGGAATGATGGTAAATCAGTTAATGAAGTTGTGAATCTTCATCGACTGAGATGGTCGGGCCACGTGTTATGTATGCCTGAACACCGACTATCACAACGCGCAATGCTGACTAGTGTTAGGGATGGTCAGAAGGAAGTTAGGGGCGGCCAAACCAAAACGTGACATCAGTCCTTAAAGTCACTAACTCCTAGTCTTAGCCATGTTGGTAGATGCAGACTACTTGGTTGGGGTCCGCATGACTGTCGTAACTAATGATTGGTAACTCGGGGTGACATGGCTCAGAATCGATCACAATGGCGTAGGTGTATACACTCTGTTTTCCCTTAAACTAAGAGACTAAAATCGCTTCATATCTTTTCTTCTACGAACTAATTCCTTCTTCCTGTACCATTTCTTTATAAGCAATCTTTATTTTATATATTCTATGAATCCGGCATTCATCTTGTTATGCTAATGAAGTATGACAACTTGGACCAATGCATATATGTGCCTGATCCTACGTTGTAGCTGACTGATTGACTGACTGGTATGAGGATTTAAAAACGGAATGTGAAATTGATACAGGACGTCATCTGTTTAAACCGTGTAGATGTTTACTGAAGGTTTAAATGGATGGATTAGAAAAACCTTTATTAAAAACTAGTGGTTTACATGAATTCATGGATCCTAAAAAAATAGGTATCTGAATTAAAATTTACGTAGAACAAGGTCCAGGCTCGGAACAAGTAATTTATACAAAAATCTTTCTTGAATCAAAGCAAGCCTCCATGATGGTAAATACATTAATATCCTGAAATTTTATTATGAAAGTAGACGATTTCATTTACATTAGTTAATATTACACATATTTCATGAATGCAAACTTGATTGATAAGTTTAGACATAGTTTTAATACAGTTTTGTATTACAGCAACTTGAGGAATTAGACATTCATATTCGAAGTCTAATGTAGCGTAACCTAATGACGTTGATAGCTAGCTTCCATTAAATTTTACGTCGGTATTTGGTATACATCGAGCGAATTGCTGTTAAAGAAATATAAAATACTGATATTAGGGATATAACATGTTGTTTGAGTGTAGAATACAACAAGAGTTCCCACGGTGTGCTACCAAAATGATATGAATCTTTGACCCTACATTTAAAAAATTAGACAAATAATAAACAATTTATATTTAACCATTACTTGTCAGTAAACCAAGAATTTTATTAAATTCTAAAACTTTGTTCTGTTTTATTTTCTGTACAAAAAAAAACTACGAAAATCTTTATAGACCATAGAACATTCACGTTATTTCTTAGGGGGTATAGCAACAAGACAATGTGTACAACATTGTAAACCATTATCAAATTGGCTTTATTGGAGTTATAAATCAGTACAATTTACAGTAAATTGTTGTAATCAAGATTTGTGTAATACATCTAATTTTAAATCAATTAATATGTATCTACTATTAATTTGTCCTTTATTATGGCAATATTTTATTGATTTTCTTTAAACTTTACCGTTTTTTTATCGCTTATATACCCTGAAATACTTGATGTCATGGTAATTATTTTAAAAAATTTACAGTAATTTTTCCCATATATGTTATTGATGTTGGTATGTTTTTTTAGAAAACATTTTTATACTACTGATTAGTAAACAGATTAAATATTCGCAATATTGTTTCGTTTTTCACGTTTGTTGTTGATTCAATTTTTTTTTTTTTTAATGTTAGCAGATATAGCACTATGACAGTTGAGTTGTTGAAAAGTAAAACAACTTATCAATTACCTTTTATTTATTAGCTCTGGATGTTTACATTAAGATTGAATTTTATTCACAGCCATTTGTCAAATAGTTTAAGATGATATCAAATGTCTTCAAGCTTTGTGTATTTTGTTTAAAGATTATGTGGTTGAAGTCAATGAATAGGTATGTATTATTGATCCAAGCTTCGTATTAGTTAGCATTCATCAATCCTTAGAGAATTTCGACCTCCTGTGCGATTTCAATCCACGTTATTGAATATTACAGTGGGAGATATTACCACTAGGCTATTCAGATAACAATTGACCTCTTTTAGGATTGAAATATTTGCACTGACTTCTTAGGAAATCAATAGAAATCAATCAACAATTAATTAGTCACTGATTTTGTATTTAATAAAAGTTCATTTGAAATATATTAGAAATCAGTGAGAGATATGTTCGATGAGACATGATTCATTTGTACATTTATTGCATTATTCTTTATTTAACATAATAAAATCATTATGTAAGCATGAAAGGAAGCCATACAAAAGAAAATGTTTCATTGATATGCAGAACATAGCTAATATATAAATAGTTAGTGATGAAAGTAACAATAAAATGGAAATAAACTGGCTGTTTCTTACCGGATGGGATTGCAGATTGTATGCCCGACCCTGCTCCTTTACTTGGGTTTAGGGTAAGCCCTAATCCCAGAAGGGGTGCAGGTGAAGGAAAGGGAAGACCAAGGAACACACTGTAGAGAAGTGGAGGCAGACATGATATGAATAGATAGCAACTGGAAAGGACTTCCCAGGATATAGTTCGGTGAAGAATCTAGGTGGGTTGCCTATGTTCCTCGAAGAGTAAGAGAAACTGAAGCATTGAGACGAGGAGTAAAATTACCTTTGTATACCGCTCAAAACAGTCAAAATGAGAGCGGAAAACTATATTTTACTGCCGTATAGTGAAAGTGATTGTGCTAAGCGTTTCAAATAATTAATTGTATCTGTAGATTGTATATAATAGGTAGATTGACTCTATCTCTAACACTAAACTTTTAATCCTGAAAAAAGTTCTGACCCGGTTGAACTACCTCACTAGATACCCCTTATACTTTTGTGTAAAATCTATTCATCCACATGACTATGCAGCAACTTATATTACAACTGATGCCAGTTTGTGAATAAACACACCAACCCTAAACCTTTACTCTAACTAGGGACAATGTAGGGACTCAAAAAGCTGTTTGGATACTTATAAGAATTCGGAAAGATGAACAAACTATGTCCATTAGGACGATTTTGTCGTTGATCCTTTGACTTAAAGGCATGATAACCACAACAACATCAAAAGATCCATTAATTACATAACGTCGGTGACAACATTATTTAAATTTCCACAAGCTTTTCATTTATAATAACTGTCTTCTGATTGGCTAAGAATAGGTGAGAAACTCATTAAGGTCGTCTTCGATGGGGTTTTGTTCTCTGAGCTGGATGGTTTAGTTATGGAGCTTTCATCGTCCTTCTGAACAACATCATTAACACAACCTTCAGAAAGAAGTGAATGTTCGAATTTCTCCATATGCGTTTCACAGCTTGTTCTGTACACCTCGACGTTAATTGGTTCTTATTAACCTTAAATTTGTCATTGTTTTGGTTGTGTCTCCCATTGGTTTGGTTTTTGTTCCCATATATGTGTAGAATCTTCCTGATTGATTGATAAATTGGATCGATTTCAATGTGCTTGTCGATTACTAATTGACCTGGATGTCAGGCTTCTAAAAACTCCCTGGTGTTTTTGGAATTTCCTCTGTCCAAGATTTCCACATTTTGCTAATCCAACGAGTGTCCGCAGCTGTCCACGTGTATTGATATAAGTGAGGAAATGTCATGGCGTTTGACTGCTAATTGATGTTCATGTAGGCGAAGGTGAAGGGGGCGTCCACTTTGTCCGATTTAGTGTTTTTCGCAGTTGACACAATTTATTTTCTAGATGATGTTTGATTTGTTTTCCTTTGTTATTTCATCCTTTGGTTTGCATAGGATTGATTGTAGTGACTTTGTCGTTGTTGTTCCCTAATGTATACTTTTACAGAGAACTAAGGACTATATTTCAAAACTTGGCTCAGAACCGAGGTAATGAAATTAATTGGCATGGGGAAACTAGGTACCATTGATTTAGATTATTTTCAAGCTAGCATATACATATGTTTCGTGCACTGTATCAATCGCTTATAAGTCCAATTCAAAGTGTAATGAATTATTACGAAACTAAGTAGCGAATAATAAGTAATCTATTTTGTTACGTCACGCGTTTTTTCAATATATGATCGAAATAGAATAGTAATATTAGGTTTCATGTGAACATGAGCCGGTTGAAATTGTTATTCGAAAATTTAAAATCTACTTGGTTCGGCTGAAGAATAGGAACTTTGCTGTTTTTTTCATGGAATATTATAAACAACTACGTATACCATGCATTTTATACAATCGAAATCCAAATTAACTTTCAAAAAAACTGCCAGAATCCCTTTGTTGCATTGCTATTTAATGACAAACAATGTAAAAGTTCATATATATAGAGAATATGTGGGTAAAAGTGACATTTTTTCAAACGAAATCACTTTTTGTACCTCAGTTGTAATAATTGGCTTCCTTTTCTTAATGAGATTTATCTTTTAGGAAAATCAAAATTTGTCATTATGTTTCTTTCACAATAAGAAAAATTTCATCTTTTAATATGAACAAATAGATAATATCAGGGGTTTTGTGGAGATTGTAGTAATTTCAACAGTTGAGATCACGAGTCAATTGAAGCTAGACCACCATGGAAAACCTGGGAGCACTGGACGGCTGTTTCGTCCTATTGTGAGACCCCTCAGCAGTGCGCATCCACGACCCAGCCTCGCGGGATTCGAACCCAGGACCTATCAGTCTCGCGTCAGGCATTAACACCGGTGGATGCCGGCATGCTCAGTGGTCTAGTCGGTTAAGCGCCTGGCGCGAGACTGATGGGTCCTGGGTTCAAATCCAGTGAGGCGGGGTCGTGCACTGCTGAAGAGTCTCACAATAGGACGAAACGGCCGTTCAGTGCTTCCAGGCATTCCATGGTGGTCTAGCTTCAATTAACTCATGATCTCAACTGTTGAAATAGATAATAGTTACAATCAACAAACTATTATACAAACTAGATATTTTTAATTACACTATCTATGAATTTAGTTGAAAGGATCAATTACCATGACAAACTGATACTAACTGAGAAATCATTGAAAAACTAAGAAGTTTTGACAAAAATGTTTTAACTTCATTTCGAACTCTACAAAAAACCTTACAGGAACTGAACCCGAAAATTTTCAAGCTTATTAACGAGTATTTTATCTGTACACTAATGATTAATCATTTATCTATATTCTCAATCGGTTAAAGTTGGGAAAATGAACTTTAACAGATCAAGTTAATAACTATGAATTGTTGGTTGAGATTGAACATTAACAGCGTTGAATGCCGGCTCAATAGTTTAGAGGTTCAGCGTTCATGCGCGAGACCGGAGGCACTGGATTTGAATCCAGCAAGTGGAATCGTGGATCCGCACTCCTGAGGAGTCCCACAATAGGATGAAACGGCCGTCCAGTGCTTCCAGGTTTACAATGGTGGTCAAACACCAATAGGTTTATGATCTCAATCAGAGAAAAAAATTAACCATCCTCTGGATTCATATATATGATGAAGATAAAAATTAAAGAACACATATATACGGCATAATGAATTTATTTTTTAATTATTATGTGGAAATATAAAACTAACGTACACGAAAGACAACAAATTTACATTTTTTTTCAGTATACAAATATAATGCTTAACTCATTATGATTTACACATGATTTCAATGATATAGGATAGAATTGCCTTGACAACAGAACAAAAAAAGAGCACAAACACATACAAATGAGTATAATTCTTCCATTAATATACATGATATTTATATATTAGACTACAATGGGTAGAATTGACGATTATTTTAAAGGGGAAAATGTTTTACTACTATCTTTCTTGTTGTATCCCTGTATGATGGATAAATCATACACACTAAGAAATGATGTAAATTTGTAACAAACAAAAGAAAAATAATTAAAGCAAAAAATTAAACTAAAAAATAATAAGCAATTAAACAAATGAAAATGTTCAAATAGAAAATATAACTAACCAAAACATTATTGATGATTACACTCTCTGATATTAACAAGTACAGTCAAGAAGTTCAGTTTTTTTGGGGGGGATGTCTTACATGGAGTGGTAGTAACAGTAGGTTAAGGTGTTAAATTTTCAATACCTAGGTCACGGGGTTTAAATCCCATTTCACTTACACTTCGATTTAAACAGTTGAGTAGTAGTAAATCATTAGCTCTTACAATTATAGAGTGGCTCGAAATTAAATATACGAAATCGTATACCTGATAAATGAGTTAATCATTTACTTTCTCTGTCTTTATGTAAGCACTACTACTACTACTACTGCTGTTACAATACTAATACTCAGCTATTAACAATTGAAAGAAAGGGTTATAAACCTATGTAGATCCGTGTAATAAAACTTCTTTTTTTTAATAAAAAAAAGAACGAAATGAAGAGTAAAATGCTTTGGCACCAAGGTGAGTTCGAAATTCAACTGTGAATAAACATACAAGAGAGTGTGGTGACAAAGTGACAAAACAATAAAATTATATTCATTTAACTCATTACTATATCTGAGAACAAAATAAAATCCAAAATAGAATTAGAAAATAATGGATGATGTTTTAATGATTATAATTTGTAATTGTTACAAGCTTCAAATTAAAAGTCTCCATTAAACAATAGTAATTAATTAATGAACATTGAAACGTCTTTGCATAACGATCATGTCATTGAAAGTATATATTATTATGCATCGAAAATATGATGTAACTTTTTTTTATGATTCTTCAACCGAATATCTGACAGCTAGAAATAAATTGAAGTTAACAATTCAACGAATATACTAATAAATATTCAAAATTGACGACTTTCATCATTGGTAATTGGATAATTTTGTTGAAACCAAAATTGATAAACAAACCATGCAGTAGTTTGTACAACTAAATTAGAAACCCATAATGCTGGTCGAAGTGAAATAATTAAACAATAACGTAATAAATGAAATAATTTCCATTCATCTTTCACATTAATATTCACATCAAATGGACGCCAACGACTACCTAATGCACCAATTACAAGAACTGGATAACCTATTGCAAGAATTACACCACCCCAACCAATAAAATGTGGGAATACAATAGATGCACAACCAAGTGGTAGACCGTATCCGAGGAAATATGTCCAATTATCAACAATTCTTCCTAAAAATCCTTCAAAGGTAGTGCCTAATGAAGGTTTAGAACAAGAAATAATGAAGACCGATAAAAAAATTAACATACAAAAGGTATTATTCAATGACAATTTCTTCTTTCAATACATATAATTTTATCTCTGTAATAATGTGTTATACAATGTTACTTACCGCGTAAGTCATCCTCAATGTAGAATAAAGACAGGAGAATGCATCAGTCTACACTACTACACTTCACATCATTACAACAAGAGGAGAGAGAGTAACAAGATGAGAACTAAAGTAGAGAAACTAATTTTGACTACAATAAGATAGTATTATTTCACTTACCAAGTACAGACCTGTGTGGTTGGTCAAAAGTCGTACTTTTCGTGTGAAGGATAGTGATACTATCAGATTGTCCAGACTGGAGTAGCTGGAATAGGGTTCGAACCATTGATTTAGGATTAAAAGTCAAAAACCCTAACCACAGAGCCACCGATCTAAATTCACAACTATAACCATAAGTTTCAAAAAGTAGCTTCAAATTAATTTTGAAGCAAACTACACACTACCAACGCTTTTTACAAACTAAACAGCACAACTTAATCACGTGACCCAACTAAAAATGTATCAAAAAACCTAGTGGACCATGAGATAGTTTAAAAGGAACAAATGAGATCAAAAAATGAAAAGTGTGGAATGAAACTGTACAATTTAGACCACTTTTGCGTCATCCCACTATCTAACCTTTCTGACCGCTGATTAGGCCCAAAATCAGGAAGTCTACACCTACCAACATGACTCAAGCCAACAACCTCTTACTCGATAAACTGATGTCATTTTTATCCAACTTACAATCACGATGTCAGCCAGTATAAGCTGGAAAATAGCTGAGGACAGAGGCAGAAAGAAGGCATTGATAGATCAGTCAGTCCATAACAGTTCGTAAGTACGAAGATAACAACCTTAAGAAAACCAAAACGTTTAAATTACCGGCAACTTGTCGCCAACGATATTCAAATGCATAACATGCATACAAGAAAGCAACAGAGAAAGCGTTGATCACGTGACCAATCCAGTAATTTGCTGACAATGTAGCCAATAAACTCCACTAGAAAACATAAAAACAAATCAACGACAATCACAAAAATAAATTAATAATACAGTTAGAAATCGATGTTCAAGAGTGGAAAATTTGGAGGCGATATAAGCAGTTGAATATGGGATCAACAACTCTCAAATTCGCTTGCAATGGAGCAGGTGAATCCATTGTTTGTTTTCCCCAAATTCTAAGCTTCATAATCCCTCAAAATTTCTTTTTTATTCCACTAATACTGTTACCACCAATTTCGTCTCTGTGCTAATGGGGTATAGCAACTTGAACCAATATACGCACGTACCCGGTTTTGTGTTGTGACTAACTGGAAAAATGAGATATCTTAATCGTATTCACAATTATCACATTGAATATGATGAATTTTATCAGCAAGATTGACAAGTTAAATTTTGTTGCAATAATGTTAATAATTGTAGTATTAAAACTATACAATCTTATATCATCGTTGCGCATAAACTCCGTTATGTAATTAGGAGAACTGGATGTATTAGGACAGAACATCCACAACGCAGATGTTATCTACTGCCTCCCTACCCCGCCCTGCTCCACCATCTAACTACTCATTAACCTAGATTCCAATAATTGAGAAAATAAGGAAAGTTTAGCAAACCAACTTTGCAGCTCTAACAGACTAACAGGCTTCTAGTCGAGAACAACCGTATTTTATCCACGAGTGCCTTCGTCAGACGATACTGGTATTAACAGAAAAAATCTTGAAGTGTTTTTGTGAATCAGCCATTAACAATGTGAGTTTCGAGTCAAACTATTTCCAAATGATGGAAATGTTGGAAAATATCGCATTTTCCGACCGTTTCACATTTCATAGAAGATAACGAAATACTAGGTACACTTACATAAACGCACTGTAAACACAGAAACCGTAATCTCTATATAAAATTTTGTATTGGCATATTTATTGAGGTGATTGTGTTAGGACCTTAGAAACAACTTTCATCGAGAAGTAACACAAGATAGAGGATAACTGAAAAAAAGAAATGAGTACTGAATGTCTTTTTCATTTGGGTTCTGGATTTTTCTGCAATATGTATCCATCATTACATGTGATTGAACTGAGGACATTCAAATACCGCAGCATGTAAAATATCAATTAACTAATACTGAGTTGAAATAAAGGTATGTGGACAAAAAATATGCTCTTCAACAGATTTTCATAAGGTTCTTTAGTCGCAAATCCAAAAAGTAATTATTATGACCCAAGGTGTCCGAGACTGATACTGATACACAAATTCTACCCCTAAGCTCCCAACCGGCTACTGAGTAAGAAGATGGAGAATGTAAGAGGAAATTTATTGGGCTAAATCACATGCAAAAGTAATCATTTATACATATGTATCTACTCATTAGAAAATAGAACCATTTCTTGGACTTGTTATATTAGGTTTTTGATTGGCACAATGTGGACTTTCCATTTGGTGACTTTTTAATGGTCCAGTGTATTAGTATAGTAATCGCTTTAATAATTTTAATCTGAGAAATCAGTCAGATACAGGTTTATGAAACTGGTTCTGAGTTACACTAATTGTGTGCGAGTATGTATAAGCGATATGAATACCCCTCAGCTGTTTTTATTGAAGTAGATTGAGTTGAATTCAAATCTGCCTATTAATGACTAGAAGTCAAGTTCTTTAACTAGAATTTGATTGTGAACAGGATAGTTTTGAGTTCTTTAAGAGTTATACGGTCAGTTGTTACTTCCCGGTCACCAACACCAAGAAATGATGATTCGTTTTCTTTAGGTACTCGAAAGATAAACTGAATTAACAGTGATCTCGACCAAAACGTCCAAGAGACAAATGTTCGAGGCTGGTCACACAAAGCATTTTGCAAGTGGTTCTTAGTTTATCATAGCTACATACTTATCAGGTTCTACAGCCGGTAACAGAAATTCGTAGGATATAGTGAAGTGTACTATTTTTAGCCACTCAGCTAAAATACCGTATATAGTAATCATTAGTTGGAAGAGACTAACGCCATCAGTCACATATTGATAACGAGTTAACAGTCAATAAAAACAGTGACATCAAAAAGATACACACAAAGGAATTAATAAAAAAAACACTGAAATCTGGAATATTCAACCTACTTGTAATTGAAATATCATAAAAAAGATTAGTGTATATAAACGATCCATGATTGTACCACCGATTGCAGAGTTTAAGAAAACATTTGAACGATCATTAGCAGAAAATTTTGATAAACCAGTAAAAAGTATACAACATCGTGTAGTAGTTCTTTGAATATATCGATATTCTTTAGTCATAGATAACAAGGTTATACGATCGCATATTTTCTGTGTACAATAGAAAGAAATTTTATGTCAAAATTATTTTAAAAAATTTGTATCCCAAGATCAGAATTTCAAAAGATTTGTGGTTTTTGAGCTGGATAGTTGCATCATGAAGCCTTCATTATTATTGTTATTATTATTTATAAACAACATCACTAGCACATACATTAAAATGAAGCGTAATTTACTTTGGAACACAGTCATGTTTTCGTTAAATTCCTGTATTCCAGTGGGAAATTGGTTGTAGCAGCTTCTGTGTTATTACACGTGATTTATTTTAACTTCTGGGTAGAATTTAACAACTCGGATGGCATATGACCACTGAGCTATTTTTACTTTCTTTTCATAGGAAGTTGTAACCTTCGGTAAACGTACCCCCCCTGCCAAATATCTATGTCTTTGTGTTTGCTTATGCGTCTGATGCCTATCTAGTTGTCGCACTATGAATTATTTACTTTGAGTTACATTAATGTTTGTAATGAGTAGTATTTTAAGTAGGTATATCTGCCTTCTTTGCTTCTCAGCTATTTTTCTGTTTGCCGAAATGAATTTATGAAACATAAATATTCGAAACACTCGTATTCGACTTTTTATATTTATGTTGTTATTAACGGGATTTGTCGACAGAACATATACGAAGTAGGATCTATATTTACTCCACATCATTAACGATTAGATCATATTCGAGTTAAGCAATAGGCACAAAAAGTCATTCATAATGGTACCCAATATATTGATAAGGGAAGCTAGGAATGCTTCAACGTACATTCAATCTGTATCCGATTGGTATATTAAACTCAAAAATGTAATTTGGTTAATTTACTATGGTTCCAATCATGACGATACATTTTCGGAATAAGAGAATGATAAAACTTGACTATACTTACTTTCAAGTACAAAAGATTGACTAACTCCATAAATAAAAGCAATGCTATGTGTACACTGCATGAGAATAATCGATGGACGATGTGACAGAAACGTGAAGACTCGAACCATGATACTGACAGAGAGAAGAAATAGTGAATTCAAGAGTAATTGACAAAGAACAATAAGAAAAGTGGGTTAAAAATGGGTTTATCATGCTCCGATTTATCCACACACCTACAGATATATGAACTTTGACGGAAAAATACTAAATTGAGATTTGTGTTTGATATAAATTTAGGGAAACAGCCAACCTTCACAGAGAGATAAAAACAACTTGATACATCGAACAATGACATACACATTCAAAATGCCATAGCTTACAAAGAGTGAGCACAATCGATAACGGAAATACAGAAGAGAATTAGTAACAATAATAATACGAAAAGGGATCAAAACAGGTTCCAAAAACGCGAGATATATTTAGTAACTTTATGATTAACACTGCGCGTTGACTTTAGTTGAACAGTCACTGGAACTAGAAAGCACTGAACGGTTGGCATTGTTCATTTGCTCCCATTTACGACCTAATTAAAAATCAAACTCAGAACCCTCAGGTCTCGCAGCCAGAGCTTAGCCTTAAGACCAATAAGTCCGTATTCAATATTTGTCTAAATAAAATCAGTTTGTGGTGTAAACTATGAAATCAAATTTCCACAAAACCGGGATAATAACAGATGTAATGATGTTATATCACATAACGTTTATCACCTACGAAAAATTGGACATTTGGTGCATCCACTTCATACACACTGATTTCAGTTAGGATGAGCTAGTGTCTTCGACTAATGATTATAAGTGTCTCCTAGAACCAATTAGAAATATAGCACAAAAAACAAAGCGTGGATACATATGAATAACGTATTGTATATAACAGAAGTTAGCGCTCAAACCCAAATCAAAGTAAATTTATTTTTCATTAACTCATTCACTGGGTAGGAGTCACACTCTAATTGTCTGGGCTAACGACACTACACGGCTGTGTAAACCTAAGTTGGTGGAATAAGGTTCGAACCTGTAACTTAGTTGTTAGAAGTCTAGGATTCATATTTGCCCAACTCTAAAAGAGCACAGAAATTTATCGTCAGAAATAAATAAAAATGCAAAATAATAATCGCATAAAACATGCATGCCGTAATGTGATTTTCATGATATGTGAAAAAAGAAACAATAAGTGTATATAAATCATTGTGTTATGTACTAAACAACTGCGACGAAGCTCAATGAACATAACTTAAGATTTATGCTGGATCCTAGTTATCGACAATTGTGAGAATAAATTTTGACGGAGAAGAGTTTATTTGTTGTCAGTACTGATGATAATTTGATCGAAAACGGTTTGGAATTCATCGTTTACATAGTATGAACTTGAGCATCAATCGTTAAGAATGAAATTTTTCGAGTTAAAGGAATTTGAACATATTTGCAGGATAAAAAGTGATAGTTAAATAGTCGTGTTTTTTTTACAGATCCTGGTAGCACTTCTAAAACACGAGGCTTTTTTTCAACACAACACATTAGGATTCAATTATCTTCGGAGTGTAGTCTAATAATCATCAAAAACATATTCTTACATCACTCGAACCAAGATCAAACCCAAGTAATTCTCCTACAAAAGTATTCGTATTACCGAAACATCGATGAAACAATAAAATAGAACTTGAAACACTATACTATCACATTTATCAGTGAATAATTAAAAGGATCATTTCGATCAAACTGATTAATCTAACTAATCAGAAACATAAAAGTGTAAAGTAAGACAGCTATAACAAGACTACACATTAAATTTAGATCTATTTAACACAGCTTGAAGCCAAGGAAAGAGATACAAATAACATTTGCCGTACAGAATAACTTTAATTTCATTACTTGACTTATTTAAAAAAACATATTTTATGAAAATCATCGGTAAGAGCAAGATAAACGCAACGTATTTAGTGGTTGAAACATTCGAAAATCTTCACCATACCGTGTTCAGTTTAAGCTCCGTTCTACTCAGTTCAATGTTTGCCAATCTGACAACCAGTTAGCCATAGGCAACGATAGAACCCAACAAATATATGCATCGGATCAAGTTGCTACATCACATATATTAGTACAGAGAGAATGCCAATCAGACAGCATACACAATCTCACCTCATACATAATGTATAAGACTCAAACTGAAGCCTACAAATCTGTATTCGGTTTCTCTAAGTTATATTACATAATTCTTTTTTTATTTTCGAAGTAAACATCATAATTACTTACCAAGCGATGGGTTAGTGGAATTAGGGAAAATAAATACGAGATTATGGCTAACACCTAAAATTCAGTATAACAAAAGAAAGAAACAATATAAGGAAACACTAAGAAAATTATTTAATTACATCTTGTTCACCATATGACGAAAAATATCTAACAATGCAGTGAACATTATATCCTACATTATCGTGATCGTGTGATGTCATGAATATTAAATCGAAAGAAAATTAAGTGAATGTAGTATCACTCAAAAGTATTGATCATATAAGAAATTCCTATTTCTCAAAACAAAATTTCTTTACCTTATTCGTAATTTCCCTTATTTCATGTATTGTTTTCCAATGAGATGTAATCAATCAGCTAATGTAAACCCAAGGAGCGGCCAAACAAAAATGTAGCATTAGTACAATGATATCATTGACTACTTGACCGATCAGTGTTGTTAGGTGCAATCTACCCGGTTAGGGTCCGAGAGATAATCGTGATCAATTACTGGAGACATTGGATGATCTTGTTCAGAATAGTGTAGATATATTCACTCGTTATTCTCCCTTGAATTCTACGATAAAAACCATCTCATATTTTTTAGTCCTCAAATTATTTCTTTCTCAAACCATATTGTCTATAACTAATCTTTCCTACCATGATTGTAGTATCAAAACTTCTCCTACTCTGACATGTCTTGACAATTTCGTATCACTATGCTGATCTGGTGTGGGGACTCAAATCGATGTATACATCAGTCAGTCAGTCAGTCAGCTACAACGTAGGACCAGGCACATGTATGCATCGGCCCAGGTTGCCATACCTCATTAGCACAGCAAGATGAACACCGGATTCATAGGAGTGGTTAGGTCAAAGGTGGTAATATATAGGAGAAAGATTGCAATAAGGATATAGTATAGGAAGAAAGAATTAGTTCGTAGAAAGAAAGATGTGAAGTGATCTTAATCTCTTAGTTTAAGAGAAGACAGAGAGTGTATACACCGACGCCATTGTGATCGATTCTGAGCCATGTCACCAAGGGTCTCCAACCATTGGTTACGAAAGTCACGCGGACCCCAACCAAGTAGTCTGCATCTACCAACATGGCTCAGACTAGAAGTTAGTGACTTCAGGCACTGATGCCACGTTTTGGTTTGGCCGCCCCTAACTTTCTTCCAACCATCCCCTACACCGGTTAGCATTGCACGTCGCGGTAATCGGTGTTCAGGCATACGTAATACGTGGCCCAACCATCTCAGTCGATGAAGATTCATAACCTCATCAACTGATTTACCATCATTCCCTAATACCCTGCGTCTAACCTCACTATTACTTACCCGGTGATCCCAGCAGATGCCAGCAATATTTCTAAGGCATCTGTGGTCAAATACTAGTAGCTTACGGGTGTCTTCTACTCTTAAGGGCCATGTTTCGCTGCCGTAAATTAAAACAGAACGGACAGCCGCGCAGTATACTCGTCCTTTTATTGATAGACGGATATCTCGCCTCCGCCAAAGGTGACGTAAGTTGGCAAAAGCCAAACGAGCTTTACGAATCCGTGCTGAGATTTCGTCAGACACCAACCCATTAGGGCTGATCAGACTTCCAAGATAAGTGAAGTTGTCAACACGTTCGACTACTTCACTCCCTATCCTTAGTTCAGGTGTTGACGCAGACCAGTCCTGAAGCAACAACTTGCATTTAGAGGGAGAGAAGCGCATCCCAAACATTCTGGCATTGTTGCTTAGTGCTACCAGAAGACTCTGCATTTTGTCAGCGTCTTCACCAAACAGGACTATGTCATCTGCATATTCTAAGTCGATAAGTGGACCTCCTGGAAGGAGATCAATACCCGAGAATTCAGTCGACGAGAGTGTTATTTCCATCAATAGGTCTATGATGAAGTTAAACAAAAATGGAGAAAGTGGGCAGCCTTGACGGACACCACTTGAGGTTGTAAAGTAGATGACAGTTCGCCATAAGCCCTGACTCGACTAGTAGTGTTCGAGTAAAGAGCCTTCACAAGGTTTATGTACTTCTGAGGTACGCCTTTCAATGACAGACACTGCCACAGAGTCTCGCGGTCTACAGAGTCAAATGCTGCTTTTAAGTCAAGAAAGACCACCATCGTCGGACGCCGATAGGTATGCCTGTGTTCTAGAACCTGACGAATGGTGAATATGTGGTCGATGCAGCCACGACCAGGTCTAAAGCCAGCTTGGTTCTCTCGTGTTTGTAGTTCACGAGTCTTAGTTAGGCGTTTGATAATTATCGAGGCCAGTATTTTAGATACTATGTTTGTTAAACTAATCCCTCTGTGGTTGTCACAGGATGATTTTGACCCTTTCTTATATATTGGGACGATAAGTGATTGCGACCAGTCAGATGGGATAACGTCTAACTCCCAGATTTTAGCCAAAATATTAGTCAACCTAGTCGCTAAAATTGGACCACCATCCTTAAAGACTTCTGGAGCCAGTCCATCTGGACCAGCTGCCCTTCCTCGTTTCAGATTAACTATAGCCTTCTCAACTTCAGCAAGAGTTGGGGGACCTACTTCAATGTTCCATTCACTTTGTCTGGGAATGGAGGGTAGTTGTAGAGTAGCTGAAGGCCAGCTGAACTGTTCTCTAAAATGTTCCGCCCATCGTTCTAAACGTCTGGACTGGGAGCAGATGAGAGTATCATCTTTTTCCGAAATAATCTCACTTACACTTGACTTATTAGTTCCAGTTTCTTTTATTAGTCTGTAAAGCTGTCTTGTGTTCCCTATAGTCGCCGCCTTTTCCATCTCTTTTGCTTTCGTTACCCACCACTGCTCACGGTCGTTCCTTAGACATGTGTCAGGCTCTATGGATGGTGGCTTACTAATCTAAAGATTAAGCATTCGTGTGCGAGACAGAAGGTCCTGGGTTCGATGCACAAGTGCGGGGTTGTGGACAAGCACCTTTGAGGAGTCCCATACTAGGTTGAAACGGTGATCCAGCGCTTCCAGATTCCGACTGTGAAAATACAACAATCTCCAAAATCCTTTATACTTCTTACTAGTTATTAGGTCTAGAAGTATGTAATATATATATATATATATATATATATATATATATATATATATATTATATATACATGCAGCTTACCAATATCAGTCCTACATTTATCAACCACATTCTTGCCAATGGTTCCAATAAACCCTGTGAATCTGATGATGAACGTTTAATTTGAGATGTTGATGTTGTTGACAATGACGACGGTGATGATGATGAAGAAGATGGAGATAAATTCGGTAGTGAAATAGGTGAATCAACATTGGACTTGGCTAACTTCTCAACACTTGAACCAGGCAGTTCAATATGTGATGCAATACTTGTTAATCTATCTGAACTTGGAATTCGAATTTGTAAACGTTTTTGTCGTTCACGTTGATGCTCATGAATTTTGGTATTTTGTACATTACTAGATGTGAGCTGTGTTAAATGACAATGCATTCTCCATAAACGACTAGGTGTTGTAAGAAATTCTTGAAATCCTAAGATAAAACATTTAAGTGAACCCATCTACACAATAGGTATAAATGCTATTAACCTGAAAAATAAAAAAAACAAATCAAATTGTAAGAGGATTAGTTGACACAATATAAATACAAGAAAGATTGATTCACAGTCGATATCTCTGCCAATAATATATCTAAGAACATGATTAAATTCATAGTATTTAATGTTAAATATAGAATACTAATGAATATAACAATATTCCAACCCAGTATTATCGCAACACACTATACTCACATTCAGACCTAAATTATTTGATTTCGATATAATGTAAGGCTATCGTAGTAATGCACCAGTGAAAAATGAGCGACGGAAACAAGTATACTGTCCAATCCTATTTGATTTTTAATGGTTGCTTTCGGACTGTTATCATTTTATCATAGTACACACACTCAAAAATTATTGCTTCACTATGTTGTTAATTTAATTACAGCTAAGGTTGTTGATGCTTTTATATTTCTGGTAGTTATTTTATCCATTAAAAGCTGTTATGAATGACGTAAATACTGACGTTAAAAACTACAATTATAAAAGGAGCGAAATGACAAGATTTTTTTGCTTTCCATTTCTTTGGTGTAAACATGGAATACTAACAAGATTAATTCATCTATCTGACCATTGATCCCAGTTTTATTTTTAAGCTTCAACTAGTAAGATTCAATTTGTAACTGTCTAATTTAGAACTATAATGTACTGTACTATTGGAATTATTTTTAGTTTAAATAACAGATAATCATTGAATATCAGACAAATATGTTAACATTTGAATGTCAACTTTGTTAATATACTGGGAACGTGTATTAGGCCGTTGGAATGATCCTTGAACGGGTTGTTCTAGTACTTCTTGAGTGAAACATATGTTTAGTACTCTCTTGTTTCTAATTTATGTCTAGCTATAGTCAATTCGTGATCCAAAATGAAAACAAGATTATCCCCTCAACTCCCCTATACTAACATTATTCATTAACTTAGCTTCTGAGTTGTCACATATTTACTAGGCTGTGTATTACCACTAAATTCTAAAATGTCAAACCAAACGAGAAATATGCTTCTTACAGTGATTCGCCTCATATTTTTTTCATCTAGAAATCCAATTATTGGTTGTAATCAGCCAATTTTGAGATATACAGTTCTGAATAGAATATGCGTTTGGCGTTACATAATTAATTTATGAACATTGAAACTACCAAATTAATGGGGTCCGTTGCTTTGTCTTAAATTTTATACCTATTAGGAATAAAATGATATTGTAGACTTGGTAGAGCAGTGAAACGCTGGAAACAAGGAATCGATAAACGTCTGTTTCAGCCTATCTCGGAAATCTTCAGTAATTCATATTGTCGAGTCTATAAGAAAATTAATCCAGAAACGTCATATCTTGCAGAAAGCAGAGTAATATAATCCACAGTCCAAATCTAGTAGTTTATAAGATTAAAAAGGATCAAGTCATTCCATCAGTACACACTGACTTAATGAAGAGGCTTATGAAAATTGAATTCATATGATCGTAATTTTTACTACGGATTGATATATTTGACTGAAAACTCGATCACTGAAGTATATGTGTGAAAAGATAGAATTACGATTATTTTAAGAACAAATATGAGGTTTGAAAGATAGTACTGCACCAGAGACCTTTTACTTTCTTGACATGAATTCAGGAGTACTCTAACCCTTAACGACACAAATCTGATATGATAGACCAATCAGAATGCTTAGAATTATTCCTGTTTCAATAATGCACTGATCAAGGTTCTATCTTGCTAACACTTAAACACTGATACCACACTGAACCTAGTTTTCAAAGTTAATTGAGTAGGATACATTCACCAGATACTGAAAACCATAGTCTAACACACAATATATCAAAACCGAAAGTGTTCGCAATAAACATAGTTTACTTTGTACAATATTCATGTGAAACAAAGTTAAATGCATAACCAAGACTACATTGAATATATATCTATCATTCTCTTTTCAATACAGACATCGTTATGCCCAAGATTCAATCTGTATGCGATTTTCTGTTTCCATTTGATCTAATAATATTTCAGCACCACTGGAATCCGTGTGATTTGCATTGACAATGCATACACTAACGCTTCACGTACTTCATCAGGCATTGTTTTTTGATTGCCCACAATGAATACATGACTTTGTGGAGATTTCAGTATAGACCAAACTATTTCTGGATAATTTTTCAATTGGTCTTGTACATACTGACGTCGTGATGGCGACATGGTAGATGTATTTTCGCGGGAAAATGCTGGGATGATCCTTACCCAACCCTTTTGTTCTAACATTTTAAAATCTGAAGCGAAATAATAATCTTTTGTGGAGTAACGGCAACCGAAAAAGAGAACGTTTGTTGGAAGCATATCATGATTCAAATGAGACATAAGAGAATTATATTGATGTAACAAAAAGCTGTGGAACGGTGCAATACCAGTGCCGGTAGCAATCAATAGACAAGAAGGAGGTGAAAGTGTCAAAAGTCTATCGAAGTTAAAACCACCAGATATAGTACCAAACCATCCACTAAGACAATCTCCAGGGTTAAGAGAAGCTAAGTAATTTGAAGCTGTTCCAATACGTGGTGTTGATAAACGTGTACGATAATTTACCACAGCAACAAGTAACTCAATTTTCGGTGGAGGAGACGCCACTGAATAGGGTCGCGCAAGAATCGGCCCAGGAAGTATGTCAAGTATATACTGTGATGTTAAGAGACTTGATGTAACCGGGAAATCTGCAAGTACTTCAACTACACGTCGACAAGGACGGAAAACATAATCATATAAATCATCGATATCATCGGAATTTTCAGCTGAAGCTAGATCAGTTAACCGATCAACTTCTAATTTTAAACGATCTTTGTCTATGTGTTGTGCTCTATACGGGCTTTTTGAAAGCTTCAAACAATTGACAGCAAAAGCACAGTAATTAACAAAGAAACACTGTTGTGGAGTTGCATTCAAATCAAAATAATATGTAGCAAGCCAAGCAATAGACACATCGCAGTCATTTTCTTTCAATGCACTGAGTAGATGAGGTACAGGAAAATTCGGATGGCATTGAGTAATTTTTACACGTTCAGTTGGATTTAAACAAGTTATTTGAAAAAAAGACAAAATATCTTCTTTACGATTTGTAGGCTGGACATAAAGCACAGAACCAAGTCGAAATTCATCCGATTTTAAATCGATATCAGACTATACTAGGTATATTAAAAGAGATAGGAAAAAATAACATAACTTACAATCATTTTAATATCTAAGAAAATCAATAAATGTTATTAACTACCGAACATAGTTGTATAAACCATGAAAATGAAGAATAACGAGATCGACTATTACAGAAAAGTTTTAGATAATTAATAATAACTATTATAACGACTACAGCGTTAGAGGACAGATGAATATGATGGAATAGCCACCCTTAGTCGAATAATGCAGTGAATCACATTTTTAAAGGACGTACTTGTTCATATGTATATATACGAATAAGAATATGAGATTGAATGGGAAAATCTGCAGACAGTTGCTTGAAGTCTCAGAAAACTAATAACTGTGTCATATATAAAACTCAAATTTCCTCGACCAAACAAGAACGCAGTACACTTTAACACCTTTTACTTACTTCCTTACGCCTGAACCCCTCATGCCGCCCACCAGCATTCTTCATTCAACAATGTCCTGAACAACCTTTTGCAATTGCTATTCATCTTTTTGACATCTGTTTCCAGTTCCCGACGTTGTGTTTTCATTGGTCTTTCTATTTTCCTTTTTTCTTCAGGATTCCAAGTTAGGACTTGCTTCGTGATGCAGTTTGATGACTCCCACAATATATGTCCTATCCACCTCTGGCGTCCTTTCCTAATTTCATATTTGACTGGAAGTTGGTTTGTTTTCTGTCACAGTAGGTTCTTACTGGTCGTATTTGACCAACGGATATGGAGTTTCTTGCGTAGATAATTGTTCAAAAACATTTGTACATTTTGATGATCATTGTAGTACTTCTCGAATTTTCAGCTCCATACAGTAGAACTGTCTTGACATTCATATTGAGGATTCTGACTTTGGTATTGGTTGACAGTTGTTTTGAGTTCCATATGTTCTTCAACTGTAGGAATGCTGCTCTTACTTTGCTTATCTTGACCTTCACATCTGTATCAGATCTTCTCTGTTTATCGACGATGCGGCTCATGTATGTATGTATAGGTTTCCACCTCCAGAATTTCTCCATCAAGTGTGATCGGAATGGTGTTGTCCGTGTTGTATTTGAGGACCTTACTTTTCCCCTTGTGGATGTTGAGGCGTACTGCTGCAGAGCCTAGTGCTACACTAGCTGTATTCACCCGCATTTGTTGGTGTGTATGGGACTGAAGAGCTATGTCATGTGCAAAGTTTGAATCGTCCAGTTGCATCTAAACTGTTCACTGTATTCCGTGCTTCCCCTGAGATGTGGAGGTCTTCATAATCCAGTCAACCATCAGAAGAGAGAGGGAGAGAGTAATCAGCCTTGTTTAACACCATTCCTCACTTGTAATACATCTGTCAGCTGTTCTCTATGTACCACTTTGCAGTGTAGTCCATCGTATGAATTCCAGAAGATTTTGACGATTTTCTGAGCTACTCTCACTCCATAGTATCGAAGAAGGTTCCAGAAGGTTATCCAACCCACACTGCCAGACGACTTCTAATAATAGTCAAGGAGATTTAAGTACAGTGACGAGTTCTATTCAATTGATTGTCTAATGATGGTCCGTAGTGCCGCGATTTGGTCTGTGTACGACTGAACCTTACGGGATCCAGCCTGTTAATCTCGAAGTTGGGTGTCTACTGAATTTTTATCTGGTTCAGCAACACTCTGCTGAAAACCTTTCCTGATGCCGATAGTAGTGTGATGCCTTTGTAATTCTCACATTTGCAAAGATCTCCTTTCTGTGGTATCTTGATGAGGTGCCCCCTCTTTCCAGTCTGTCAGTAGTACTTGTTTTTCCTCCCAAATCTTCCTGAATAGGACGTGGAGCATGTTTGCAATTGCTCCTATATCTGACTTCAGTGCTTCAGCTGCTATATTGTCAGATCGAACTGCTTTCCCATTCTTGGTTTGTCTGATGACCATCCTGATTTCTTCGATCATTGGTGGAGTGACAGCTATAGGAGGATGTGTGTGCCACTTCGATGTCCGGTGGATTCAGTGAAGCTGGTCTGTTCAATAGTTCCTCTAAGTATTTCACCCATTTCTTCCTCTGTCCTTGAATTTCAGTGATTGGCTCACCTTCTTTGTTCTTGACCGACCTCTCTGGTTTACTATATTTCCCTATCGGTTTCTTCGTTGTGTCATATAGTTGTTTAATATTTCCTTGTTACAGCTTTTTCCGCTGTCGTTGTTAGGTCTTCCACGTATTTCCGTTTGCCAACTCTAATACTCTTCTTCACTCGTTTGTTTGCTTCTATGTATCCAACTTATGCCTTGACTTTCCCTGCTATTGTTCGGCTGTTGTTAATTACTGTCTTTGTGTTCTTCCTTTCTTAAATCTTGTCCAGGGTTTCCATAGAGGCCCATTCCTTATGATGATGCTACTTGTGACCCAGAAACTCGTGGTGCGTTGAAGTTAGTGCTTGCTTGATCTCTTTCCAATTGTCCCCCATAGTAGATTTTCTTCTTCTTTAAGATCTTGTAATGCTTAGAACCTGATGTTGATAGTTATTTTGAATTGGTTAAGTTTGTCCAGTTGTCCAGTGCTTCTTTAGCTTCAGTTTCTTCTTGGCAACTATCAGGTGGTGATCTGAAGCTATGACAGCTCCTCTTCTGGTCCTCACGTCTTCTATTGACCTGATTTTTTTACGGATACAAATACGATCTATCTCGTACTCCGTGGTGTAGTCCAGTGAGACACATGTAGCTTTGTATATGCGTTTGTGGGGAATATTTTGCCGCCTATACCCAATTTTTTAATGCATATAGATTTGTAAATCCCTCACCATTCTTCTTCCTTCCCCCAGTCAGTGCATGGCGTCTCATGATATCTTCATATCCGGTGTTGTCCACTCTGACTTTGGTGTTTAGGTATCTCACCTGGATGGTCAGGTCGTTTGCTGAGCACTTCATAATGATCGATTGCAGCCTCTCGTGAAGTTGGTCTTTATCGTCGTTATTGCTATCATTAGTGGGCGCATAACATTGGATAACATTGATTGTGATTCCCTGGTTCTTTGTTTTAAACCATGATTTGATGATTCTGGAGCGGTGAGACTCTCATCCACTAAGTGCTCGTTGGGCTTCTTTGGACAGCACCAGGGCAACTCCATGAATGCGTGGAGCATTTCTTCTCTTTGTGACCGGAGTACGTTAGCATCTCTCTCGTATCTAACCTTTGCTGTTTAGCTTGGGTCCAATGGGTTTTGCTGATTCCGAGTACTGCCAATTTGTATCTCCTCATTTCCGTGACTATTTGTCTGGTCCTCCCGGTCTCCCACATTGCCCGGACATTGCAAGTACTTATAGCAATTGTTGCTCTGGTTGTTAGAAGAGGCATCGGTCTCTTGACTTCAGAAGAATCTCGGCTTTCACCATGAGGTGTCATAATTCTTCTGGATAAAGATTGTTCAACTCGGAGGACAAAGTTTGAATGGTTTAGATTGTTTATTATGGTTAGCATTTTTTTAGGAAGGTTGTTTCCTACGGGATGGGTTTATTGATCCCATGCCCAACCCTCCTCCTTTAGCCGGGTTTGGGACCGGAAGTAACTCTAGAAGAGCTACAAGTGGACTTCAGGAATTGGAAGCAGATATCAAAAGAATGAATGGCAACTAGAAAGGATTGCCCAGAACAGATTATGATGAAGAACCATAGTGGTCGGTTAACGCTCCTCCACGAGGTGTAACAGGCGTAAGTAAATTGGTATACCACAAAGATAATAAATACATAACAAATCTTGATAAACTACATACATCCCCGATATAATGAAAACAACATAAGTATAGTGATGTCAGCAACCATACTGGTGTACATAAACTCTGTCACAAGAATACCCTGAATTGTCAGACATCGATTGGCTGAAGAATCTTCAATCCACAAGTCAGATTGATCTTAAGTGTTGTTATACCAAGATCCGAATTCTTATCAAAATTTTTACATTACTTGTTAAGTTAGAATAACACATAAGCAAACGATGATGTTTTCACTTTGGTCATCCTCAGGCTTTGATATACAATGATATTTATATCAACATATGAAAAATAGTAAACTGATCAAGGCAGTTTATGAGTCAATAACAAAAAATTAAATACATTATATCACTGAACATAATAAGTAAAGGTAAGGATTGATAGCAAGATGATAGGTGCACTAGTAGTAATGAATAAACATAATACAAGTTTTAATCAACGTTCTAATATACACTAAACATTATTTATTATGGAAAAATTGATGAAGCAGTTATCGACTCGTTTAACAGATGCATAGAGAAAGTCCCTCCGTGTATCACTGCAGTTCATTCCCTTCTACTTTGCGGATGCTAAACGTGGCCATTAAGACTAGAAGATATTCTTAAGTTACTAGTATTTGACCACAGATGTCTTAGAAATATTACTCGCATCTGCTGGGATCACCAGATAAGTAATACTGAGGTTAGGCTCAAGTTATTGGGGAATGATGGTAAATTAGTTAATGAGGTTGTGAATATTCATCGACTGAGATGGTTGGGCCACGTGTTACGTATGCCTGAACACCGATTACCACAACACGCAATGGTGACTAGTGTTGGAGACGGATGGAAGAAAGTTAGGGGCGACCAAACCAAAATGTGGCATCAGTGCTTAAAGTCACTAACTCCTAGTCTTAGCCATGTTGGTAAATGCAGACTGCTTGGTTGGGGTCCGCGTGACTGTCGTAACCAATGGTTGGTAACTCGGGATGACATGGCTCAAAATCGATCACAATGGCGTAGGTGTATAAACTCTCTGTCTTCCCTTAAACTAAGAGATTAAAATTGCTTCATATCTTTCTTTCCACCAATTAATTCTTTCTTCCTTTGCTATATCCTTATATGCAATCATTCTCTTGTATATTACCACCATCGAAGTAACTACTTCTGTGAATTTAGTGGTCATCTTGTTATGCTAATGAGATGTGGCAACTTGGGGAGACACATATATGTAGCCGACTGACCGACTCAGACTTCATTAATCTTGAACCAGGAAAATTCAATAGCACTATAATGATTGATATCATGGTTACATTGACCAGGTAAGAAGTAACTGGGTATCCATAAGGAACTCTGTAAGTACATAATGACGGGATATTTTCATTTATATCTGTTTTCTTTTCAAATACACTCCCTTGAGAATCTAGAGCGCTTGTTATAGGTTATCATATGAATCATCGTCATCAATTGCCACTCAAGTTTGCATTTAATAATGTACCTAGCTGTATATAACATTTTCCCATGAAACATTTCCAACAAGTGGGTGTTGGTCAGTCTGACGCAACAGATATTGCTATAAAACTAAATTAAGTAACACTCACTTTATAAGACAATTCCAATAGTCGCGTATCCTGGAAATGGTCCGCACTAGTAACACGTTTACAACGAACCACCTGAAACCATTGAGCATTAGTTGGGATTGGATTAGACATGAACGAATGCGCATTGTCAAATTCGACTTGCTTGACAAGCTGATATAGCAAATTACTTTCACTTGTGGACTGTAAACTGGGATTGTGCACTAAGCTGGAACAAACGACATCGTATTTAGGCCATAAACTAAACACAAAATCAGGATTTTTCAAGTTGTCCCAACTAATAAATCGTGATAATCGTTCTGAAGTCGGAACGCAAAGAACTTTATAACGCTGTCCCAAAGAGCTGGAATCCAACAGCGCAAAACCTCATTTATACCTAACTCGGACTGTTCATCAGCTAACCCAAGACTCGAATTTTCACTTTCTTCATATTCTTGGTCACGTCTAATTTCTGTGCAAAGTGGAGTGGCGCCAAGTTGAAGCAAACGACGATAAAGCTTTTTAGCGACAAAGTTGAACATAGGATAAGAAGAATCACCAAGTCCAAGGACAGCAAAATGTAGATCTGGTGGGAGCGAACGACCTGGAATCAAAGCTCGATTCATTATTTTTTTCCAAAATAGTGACATATTATCTGGAGGAACACCATGACCTGTAGTGGAACAAACGAATATCACCACACCTTTTTCCTTCGCAAGTCGTGATACAGGTGTGTAGTCATCCATCGATAGTAGATGAATAATAGGGAGACGTTCTAAATTAGATTTGACACATTCCTGATCGAAAATTCGATATGATTGGAGAGCGAGCAATTCAGCTAACGACTGAGCGTTGCCCGTTTGACTACCATAGAGAATTGTGATTGAGTCATTGGTAGTTGTAGGGTATGATATGGAATGGTTCGTCTGAGAAAGCATGTGCTGAAATATAAGTAAAACTTCATTGTAGGTAAGAGTGCCTACGAAGAAAGTAGTAACATTAAATTACTCACACGACATTCCTGGTAAATTACATTAAGTCATTTACATTTAAAATGTTTTGTAAGTATTCAAGGACGATTTATACCCATAACATATTTATTAATTTAGATTATCCTAGGGTTATCAGAGAATAAACACTATCCTTCTTACGAGCGTGAAAATGGTTTCTTTTTTATTCTAACACCAACATAAGTGATACGACTGTCCTATAAAAAAAGATGATTCCTCATTATACTACAGTATAACTATTATCTTGACAGTACTTTCAAACACATGACGAGTCGTAGACAAGTGGATAACAACTGAAATGGACAAAGTGAGTTGATTTAGGTTTAAAGTAGCTTCATCAGATCCACGATGATGTTCAGGGAGATAAACTAGATATAAGTATATAGCTGAAGTAACAATTCAAAAAAGAAAAAACAGATGGAGTTTACTGGTCGTCGACCCATTGAAGTTTGTGAGACTTCCAAGATAAGTGAAGCGATCAACCCTACCAAGTAAATCACTCCTAACGGATAAAGCAGACAATCGATGGGTATTTTTCACATAAAACACTTTTATTTGACGTTGATCAAAAGAAATAAATCTTATTCATTTGGAATAAGTACTTCTGTTATTATTACTCGTCATTTACTGTTTAATTCATGTCCAAGTGTTTGGAAAGGACTGGTAATCATGAATACGCCATTATTTGAGCTCATCACCTTCATTTATTCATTCAGTCAGTTAAAAACATCGCAAAAATTAATCCAAATCTTCATACTGCTACGATTCACAACAGTTAACGGAAACTATCAGTCAAACAGAATAAATGGGACCGAGTAAAAGAAAACACAAACAAACTAGGCTTGACTTTTAGATCAATAAAAAAACGTATATGTACCTCTTCAGCCGATTTTAAGTCAAGTCAACTAATAATCACAACTATCTCGAGCCCTAAGAAGAAGGTGTTTAACTTTAAATGTAGTTCAACAAACTAAATAGATTTGAATAAAGCACTACCACGAAACTTAGTTATACTAATTACAATGAATGGTTGTCGCCTGTTTTTATAGCTAATGATTAAAGCAAAAGAAACCATAATTTAGCAACGTATTATGACATATTCGGCTAAACGAGGATGAAGCATTTAAGAACCAATATCATAAAAGAACTGTAGACATAGATGTTCAAAACACTATTTGGGAGGAGGCGTTTTTTCGCTTACGAGTGTAGTAATGGCACGAAAAACCTAGGACTAACTTAATGAACTCATGGTCATGAAACAAATAACATTGTACTAGGGTTACAAGACGCAGAAAATTGCAAACCACACTTTTCGAGAAAGTCAGTACTGGAAAATATTGTGTTTAAAAGAATCAACTTAATTTGGCTGTGATGGTCATGTCTTTTGGTTGGTTTAGTACTACTATGACCTATCTTATAAAGACAGATTGAGACACCTTAACTTACTTCCGTTATCTTACTGTAGAATAATGGGTGATCTAATATTAGCTTATCGTATGCTGAACGATGACCTTTGTATTAATATGTCTCATCTTTTCCTTCTGTCTAGGACTGATCATTTGAGGGGACAAAGTTCAAAAGCCGAGATCAAATCGTCTACGTTGGAGTTCCGTTTCTCGCACAGAGTAGTGAATTACTGGAACTACATACCAGAACACGTAATATTAGCACCTTCTGTTGATATATATACTCAAAACGAGATCGGGCCTCCACAGTATTACAAACTGCAAGGATTAATGTAGGTCGATAGACTTCCTATCCTTGTTACTGAAGACTGAAAAGCATTTGAGAGCACCCCAAACTGTGAATCTTAAATGCAAATTTTTATAAAAGAAAATTATGATGCTATATAGTCGGAAACAACTATGACGAATTATACACAACAAGCACAAAACGAGAAGCAACATGCAAGTGTAACGCATACACCAAAAACCGAGGCCTTCAGTCTTCAGTGTTAAGGATAGTAGGTTGGTGGACCTGTGTTTATCCTAATAGTGTGCCTTCCAGTAAAAGTCCAGCTTCCTTTTGAAAATGTTCAATGGTGGGGCTGATACCACTTGTTCGGGTTACACGTTTCAGACCATTGACCACTCGATGATAAAAACAGGACCCCACTTTAAGTTTATTAGATCGCGGTTTGTGAACCTTCTTCTTATAACCTCGGAGATTATTATTTCTGGATGGAGCGAAAAGATAGGACATGTTAACACCCAAGATGTAATTAAAGATGCGAAATGCCAGCACAAGGTCACCTGGCGTCCTATGATAAGACAAGGGGAAAGGTTTAGGCGCCTTAAGTGCTCATCAGTCTTCAGTCTTCAGTAATAAGGACAGGAGGTCTGTCGACCTACATTAATCCTTGCAGTTTGTAATACTGTGGAGGCCCGATCTCGTTTTGAGTATATATATCAACAGAAGGTGCTAATATTACGTGTTCTGGTATGTAGTTCCAGTAATTCACTACTCTGTGCGAGAAACGGAACTCCAAACGTAGACGATTTGATCTCGGTTTTTGAACTTTGTCCCCTCAAATGATCAGTCCTAGACAGAAGGAAAAGATGAGACATATTAATACAAAGGTCATCGTTCAGCATACGATAAGCTAATATTAGATCACCCATTATTCTACAGTAGGATAACGGAAGTAAGTTAAGGTGTCTCAATCTCTCTTCATAAGATAGGCCAGCCAGACCTTGTACCATCTTAGTAGCTCGTCGTTGGACTCTTTCTAGCATATCTGCTTCATATTTGAAACAAGGACTCGCTGCTTGAATCCCGTATTCTAAATTTGGTCGCACATAAATCGGGTATAGTAATCCAAACATTTCATCATCTAAATACTGAAAAGACCCACGAATTGACCATAATACCCTATAGCCTTTTGCAGCAGTAGCCTTACAGTGACTAGTCGTTTTGAGAACATTGCTTAATATAACTCCTAAGTCTTTATGGTTTCTTGCTTTGGGTAGCACGAATCCACGTAATGTATAGTCATACGATTCATCAGAGTCATTTAACTGCATCACTACACTCTTATTAGGATTTACTTCTAGTGACCACCTGTCTAACCATGCCACCATTGAGCTAAGATCATTCTGTAATACTATTCTATCCGACATACTATGTATGGGTCTCCAAATCTTTATGTCATCAGTGAAGAGTAGAACGGATGATTTTGCTACAGCTGGCAATTCATTTACATAAAGTAAAAGAGAAGTGGACCTAGGATTGTACCTTGGGGAACCCCACTTTTTACAGGTACCCACGAGGAGAGAGCCCCATTAACCCTTACCCTTTGTCTCCTGTCATGGAGAAAGTTACTTGTCCAATCGACGACTGTATAATGGATTCCAAAACGTTTCAGTTTGAATTTAAGACCAGAGTGGGAAACCTTATCAAAGGCTTTACTTAGATCTATGAAAATTACATCCACAGGAGCATTCCGATCCTTTGCCGCAGCCCACTCTTCTCGTGCAATGAGAAGATTTGTCAAGCAAGATAGGCCTTTCCGAAAACCATGTTGTGCCCTGGATACAAGATTTTGCCCTTCAACATAGTTTATAACAGCTATCCGAATGATTTTCTCCATCAGTTTCATAACTGCACTAGTTAAGCTAACGGGTCTATAGTTTATAGATCCTTCTGTGGTCATATTAGTCCAACTAATATCAGTTGCGTTAAAGTCTCCTATTATCAAGCATCTGGTATTATCACTCCAAAGATGAATGTGCTCTAAAATAAAGTCATCAGCTAAGCAGATTGGGCTCCGATAGATGACACCTAGCATAAATGTACTACATCTTATAGCCAACTTACAGCTAATGACTTCACAAGTGCCGCTATCATGGGATTCGCTAGTAGAGGAGCGGATATTAATGTCATTGGCTATATATAACAGGACGCCGCCTCCTTTTCTACATCTATGTCTATCACTCCTGATGCAATGGTATCCGGATAATTCTGGAGTAATGTCTAAGTCATGGACTAACCAAGTTTCTGTCACTGCTACTATGAGTGGCTTTAACCTGTCTACTAGTGCTTCTCGTTCATAGAAGGGAGTTTAGAAAGACCCTTCACTAATTTTGTTCTCACACGCTGAACACGCTGAAGTGAGTTGGTATCCTTTATCAGACATGGGCTAGCCCCTTGAATACAGCGCTCCAAGTGTGGTCTTACATAGGTGGAATAAAAAATCTGAAACATCTCGTCAAAGCACTTGAATGCTCGGCGAAGTGACCATACTACACGACTACCTTTGGCAGTAGTTCCGTTGCAATCCGTAGTTGTTTTCGAGTCGCGACTTATTATTACTCCTAAGTCCTTGTAGTCCTGAATGCATGGAAGAGATGCATCATCAATAGTACAGTGGTAACTATTACCGTGACCGATGTGCATGAGCAAACTCTTCCTAAAACTAAACCTCGAGCTTATCTAAATAATTCGTCTAAGTCAGCTTGGAGATTAAAATAATCAGCCTCACTTTTTTGTTCTCCAGATTTTGAAATCGTCCGCAAACAATAATGTCAACGACTTAAGCAATAGCTGTAATTCATTAATGTAGAGAAGGAAGAGTAAAGGACCTAGGATGAACCCTTGAGGTACACCAATTTTGATCGGCTTCCATTCGGATACCGTTCCCTTGACCCTCACTTTCTGTCTGGGGTCATATAAGAAGTTTCCTGTCCATTCCTGCACAGTGCCTGTTATTCCGAAACTCGAGAGCTTCTGCATAAGACCTAAGTGTGAAACCTTGTTAAATGCTTTATAAATATCATGCCGACAGACAGATTGTTATCTAGGGCTGCTGTCTAATCCTCTCTGGCAAAAGTAAGTTAGTCAAGCATGAACTCATGTTATGAACCACATGTTGCTCGGAAGTTAACAGATTGTGTGAATCTATGTGACTTAGTAACTCGATCGAATTATCTTTTCAAGTAACCAAACGACTATGCTGGTTAGACTGACAGGCCCGTAGTTAGGACCGATCTCTCTCTAACCATCCTTAAATATAGGGCTGACTATAGCGTCTTTCCAATCTCTAGGGGGTTGAGCAAGTGGAAGGGACATGTTGAAGTGCTTTCCGAATGGTCTTGAAATAATGTCCGCAAGAGATGACAGCGGTCGTGTATGTAAACCATCAGGGCCGATATCTTACAAAGTTTGAGGTTAGTGATCAATGGAAGAACAGTTTCCGCAGTCACATGCACAGATTCTATGGTTGATATTTCGTTGTGATTGGTGTAAGATCCAAACTACGGTTTGGACTGCTGAATAGCCTTCCAGGTACGATAGACACGCGCCCTTTCCCGTCGAAATCAAAACAAGTAATCGGGTAAATAGCGGTTCTAAAATTCATCATTAATTTAAATGTAAATCGTTACCTAAACAAATATTACCACCCGGCTATTCAACCAATAATTGTTCAATCAATAAATTCTAAATTACAGTAAATAAAGGAGTTCATGAAAGATGAGGGAAAATTACCAGTCACAACAAGTGAACGTTATTCTATCCTAACTGGATAGAACACACAAAAGGAGGAGCAAATCAATATGGCTACCGCCAAGAACAAGTGTCAAGTAAAACAACACAGATGCGGTTCGGGAAGAAACACAAACTCAGTGAATGCGTAAGAAAAAACAAAAAAACTATAATAAAAATACAAGTATTAGCAATTCAAATGTAATCAAAAGACAACAATGTGCAACTAAGGGGATCAATAGGAACAAAGTACAAGTATATACATGGAGGGATTTTCACCAACACACAAAACATTCAAAATGGATCTTACAATTGGGACAAGTATTTGTAATAATACACGTAGGGTAGAATTCGTTAACATAGTTTGAAAAAGTCTAAGCTTTCGCCAGACCTGACTCCGTCAGTAAATCTGAATTTCCGTACAACATCGACAAAGGAATACCATCACTACGTTTTGTTCGCCCTTTAACGTACGAAGACAATAGTTTCGGAAAAATATGGCTATCACACGTCAACTATCTTTCAAAAATTGTACGGCGTCTAGTTATGGTATTTTTACATACATTCTGGAGTTTTTGGTATTTACACTGAAATGGTTCGTGTCCTGTTGACAAGAATAAGTCCCAGAAATGTTTCCTTCGTTTCAGCAACCTTCGGGTTTCCTTACTAATCCATGGAGGGCAATGTGGTAGCTTACATGTTGACCATGGAATAAACGGCGATGTTACGAACTTGAATGCAGCCTTAAACTTATTCCATTCGTCCTTGACCGATCCATCCACATCGACTGACCAGTCAGTCGAGACAGCACAGTCTCTGATGGCCGGGATTTTAGGTCGCCAGATATCGGGATGGGGTGAAGCTGATACAAATTGCATACCATGTGCCTGAAAATTAATATAAAGCACAGCGTGACCATTATTCGCTAGTGTATAAGGATAAGGTCCAACAATGAATGGTAATGTTCCAAGTCAATATGCATCGGTTTCGCGATACATTGTACAAGTGCACACTCAATAATGGTTGATGGAAGGTCGCTACCGAAACCCCGTCCGAAGCTGTAAGCTCTATCCAGCTGACATGCTGTGCATTGAAGTTTCCGATGATGAGACATCATTCTACCTTAATTCAAGAATAGATGTTTCTTAAGATAAAATCGTCAGCAAGACAACACGAACTACAGTCACTAACCCGTGTCTAGACTTAATTGTGCAACATGCTACCTCAGATGTACCACCAACATGGGCCTCCGATATGATTGATTGCAT